GGATTTCTATTGCTTGGAAAGGGGGCAACCCTTCTGGCAGTATTCTCTGGCCTTCTTCTTGCCTAATGACTATCCCTTTTACGACCTTATCCAATCTGAAATGGTAAAAATTATCTCCGATGGATACGTAACCGATATTCTTTCTGAGTAAGTCCTCTTTAAGTTATTTTTATGGCTTTTGGTACCCATTCTTAGCGCAAAAATCGCGCGTTTGCAGGTTGCGAACGTAAGCAGGCGATGCTGCTGACTTTAGAGATAAGTAGTTTCTTCTAACAACGTATATGGGTTGCGAACTGCGCTCATATAGGCGTATTTTGAGTTGGTCTTCTGCCGAATTAATGGGCTTGTAGGACGTTTTTGGTCCGCGCAATAATGATATCAGAAGAAAAGAGATACTAAAGGAGCTCCTGTGGGGAGAGATTGTATTGTGGTTCAACGATTAGAAAGGGTTGCAAACTGACGGGATATCTCGGAACGCACGGTCAATCCAGTTTGCGGTTGTGCGGGATGGGGTGGCCGACTGATAGACAGAAAGTCAGGCTGCACTGGCTCCTCCTTAATTTGGTTCACATGCAACTCCCACTCAGGTGGGATCCGAGTCAGGTGCGGCGGCACACCTAGGGGCGGCTCCGGCCGTGCCAGCTATCTGCACCATTTCCTTGCGCACACGTTAACGGCTCAGACACCGAGCTACTTGGAAGTAAACCACGTATGTAGGCGAAAAACCGATCTGTGTAAAAAGCTAGACCAAGTGGTAAACCTACTCTTGCCCTATTTATTCCAATTCCCCTGATGTACCCCTCCCTTGATAAGTTATTATGCCTTTTATCTGTTTGCCTTTACGATTTCAAGTGACCCTTTCTCACCGATTGTGCTGTATGAGCCGAACTAAACTATGTTTACGACGGGCTAGGGTTTTATCGTAGGGTCGCTTGTGAGGAGGTATAAATAATAAAAAAATACTTACACATTTTCAGTAGGTCGAATTTCCGCCTATTTAAGCGATTCATTGATTATGTTAACGAATAGGCACAGTTCTAACAGTTTTCTCAGACTATTGGCTTCCTTTTCAGTCTTTGTTACCCTTTCCGCAACCTTTTCACCCTTATTGTTAGTCCAGTAAAACAATTACAAGTGACTTTAATGTCTTCCTCACTGTGCAGTTATCACGCACCCATAGGGTTCCTGGTGTGCCCCATCCTCGTAAGGTACTTGGGCAGGGGAACTTTTGCCATTGGGCACCCCATCGACAAATCACTGTCCACGGTGGTTTAAAAAAATGATCCACTTGTCGTATATTCATTATTCGTTATCGATGTAATGATGTGGTAGAAAAAAGTCGACGCGCAAATTTTAGATACCAATAAATCCAGCCGCTTTTCGTAATTCTTATAGAGTTAAACTGTCACCGGTTCGCTAAAAGCTGCGTTGCACAACGCACTCACTTAAATTTCTCCAAGTACTTACATGTGTTCATTAAATTAAATTATTTACCAGAAGCAACCTTGTGTTTCCTAAATTTTCTTCGTAGTCATTTAAAGGGAAATGAAACAACTTTTGCGCTGTTAAAAGCTACCTCCCCACTCCTTATGCGTCAGCATGTTTTATTTGAATAGCTTCCAGGTTGCAGACGGCATACATACAGAAAAAGACCTGAGTATGCTCCACGAAACGTGAGGATTATGATAAGCATAGTACGAAACAAAGAGGCATTCTACTTCTGCGTTTACCTTTCTAGCATTACCTATCTCAATCTCCATTCAAATATGTAACCTTGATTTTTAGGATTTTTTCCCGGCCGTTACACGACAGCAACATGCTGCTTAATAAACAGAGTAGTTTACACTATTTTTCCATATCAAGTCCTCCCAGTGTTTTGCATTCACCTCGTATCACAGTCAATGTTGAGGGTATGTTTAATCCATTCAAAGTCGCTGGTGGGCCATATATTAACCGTATACTCCCTACTGTGGGCTCCTGGCGTTTGTTGTACATATTCTAAAACTCGTTTTGTCTATGTGGCATTCCTGATATGAATAAACCTCAGTAAGCGAAAATGCACCCTACTCGCTTAAAGGAAGTAGTAAACGCGGGCACGCGAGTTACGGATTGCACCTGCTCTCGGTACAAGTAGCAAGTGACGATGATTGAACTGGACGGACTGCATGCCTTTGGCAGACCCCGAATTTGTGGGATCAAATTTGAATCCCATGCTTTCCTGCCCAGAATTACTGCGCGGCTGATCGGGGGATGCGCATGGATCACCGATCATTGTGACTTTCAGCAAGCCTTTTTCGAGACTCATTCCTCCTCCAGCGCATATTGGTATTGGATCGTTGGTAATCTGTTGTTGGGCACCGCGCTGATATCAAGCATCAGGAAGTCATTAATGGATGCTTTTCAGATGCCTGGTAAAACGTAGTTGCGGTCCTAATTGATGGTCAACGTACTTAAACGTGCATCTGGATTAAGCCTAGCTTTCGAGTAAACTACAACTTTGCTGTGTGCACTCTCTAACAGTTTTATCCTAATCGCACAAATACAGCCCCAAATGTCAGTAAAAACTCTTCAAATGTTGATGCCGAATCCACAAAGTTGCTGCTTGGGCGGCATCCATGACAGCCGGAAATTTGTTAACGTTGCCAAAACTGGTTTCTTTAAGTATTATGACATAAAGCCACAACTTTCTTAAAGAAGTTCCGGGCCTAATGCTTTTGCCCCTGCATTTATCTTGTTTCCATTCTTTATTATAGTAAAGAGCTTAATGTAGCTCCAGCCAATGTAAGCTGTGGTGTCAATTTGCAAGAGGAAATTCTGAACAAGCTGAAAGTCAAGCTTGTTGACTGGTCGCCATACTCCCTAGGTCTGGAGATTGCACTGGGCATCTTCATACTCTGCGGTATCGGCCTCCTCCTTGTTGGCATCACAGCGCTTGTTGAATTCTGCCTAGGAGCGTTCAAGAAGGTAAGAGTGATTTGGTGACTATCACCAGATTCTCAGGGCTACGGTAGGCTGGCATTTTTCCCAACAGGAGAATAGCAATGACTGGTTTATTGCTTGAAATTCTAATCGAGGGTCCTCTCTGACGTTCTGACGAAGACAGACATGTCAGCATGGTTTATTTACTTTCCTTTTGTATTTGTAGGTAGCTCTGATTATTGCGTTAGCAATAGAAATCCGCACCTGTGTAAAACTTGAATAGCAAAATACTACCTTGTGAAATCGATAGAGCAAAATGATATTCTGAACTGTGCTCAGCATAAGCTGTACTCAATCCGAACGGATTGAACAATGGAATTATAATTTTGG